TTTGGGCCCATACATAAGATTCAGCAATCTGCTAAATCTTATTAGCGACCAAAAATATCCATTAGTTCCCGTCCCAATGCCGCGTTCATCTAGTTAAAATTGATAAATAGCAGATTTTTCGATGGGCCCAATCTTATAGCGAATTCGTTTATTATCGGGGTTGGAACCAGTTCCAACCCAGTGCGAAACCGAACTTTTTGTCAGTGCGAACCTCAACCTGAGCTAGATTTTAAAAACAAACGAGCAAACTGACGTTTGTCAGCAAACAAGCAGACTCAATCTTGATACCCGATCCAGGTTGGAACTGAATAATAAACGAATTCGCTATTAGATCCATAGGCCAACATTAGAGCCATTTCCCTTATATAGGAAATTGTGACAGGAGAGAAGAGCGAGAAGATTTTAAAGAAGAAAAAGAAACAGGAAGCGGGAAGATGATGCAGAGGAAACAAAAGAAGACGGAACGGATGAAGAAGACGGAACGGATGAAGAAGACGGATGAAGATGAAGAGGACAACGGAACGGAAGCTGATAAAGAAAATGAATAAAAAATGTGAAGATAACGAAGAGGATACAAAGAAGACGGAGCGGAAGAAATTTGCTGGAAAATGGAAATTCACGAACATGAAGATAGAAAACTAGAACAACATCACTCTAAACATACTGTTACTTTAAAACCAATAGAACTGACATGAATGCATCCGCAGAATGTAAAATGTCACTGATAAAGAACAATAACAACAACAACAATATCTCTCCAGGCACGGGACAATGTTTGTCTGAGGCTTGCTGTACTAGAGTGTCGTTTGGCACTCCGGTCCATTCATTTATCCACGGAAGGATATATAATTACAAAGAATGCCGATGTACACCTCCGTATTCACTTTACTTTTTTTTTACTTAGGACTACGCCTGTGATTTCTTCTTTGTGAAAATCGAAAAAAATTTTGACCTGAATATGCAGCGAAAGCGAATTATTCACACTTCTCTCAAATTCTATTTGGTGATTTTTACCACTTCCTACCAGCGGAACAGCGCCATCTCTGTGAAAAATGGCCAGACGATATGATTAATTGACAAAATGTGTAGAACAAGAACTTTTACTCAAAGTCTTGAACTTTTTGCTAGTAGGGTAGAGCGCTACTGCGTCGTAATCGCCCATTCCCGTTCTATCGATCAGAAAAGATCAATAATATCAATGATTTCACCATGCACAAATCAATAATAGGTTTGTTCCGATGCGTTAGTTCATTAGCTACAACATAAATCCTGTTAGAGCGCATTGTATGAATATTTACGCTCATTGTTCTCAAAACAAAAGAAGCGTTCCTAGCGAATCACCTTTTTCCACGTTTATCCGTAGGACGAAGAAAATCAAATGGCGTTAAAATGCGTTAGGGCGGAATTGAAACTCGTAGAACGAATTTAGAATCAAAAAGCAGTATTAGATTTTGAACAATATCTCAACAATTTGTGACTCTTTATCAAATCCAACGGTACGTATGGAGAGGTGGATAAATTTAGAAGTCATCTTTGACAGAAATATTCCATTTTTGGTTTAAATTCGTTCAGAAAAGAGAGGTTGCCCTTAGTAAGACGGAAATTAGATCAAAACCCTACGCTTTTTTATGAAATTTCTACACAGGAAACAATATTTGAGACATTTCAAATTGTTCTCTGTGCAAAGATAACATAAATGATGGTGATGTTTTACGATTTATGTCAATTTTCAAGTTTTCATGGTTTGGAATATTCCAAAAGCTTGGATCAAAGTACCGTGCCGATTCAAATTTCGGACACTTAAACTCGAATTTCGGACACTTTTAAAAGTTGATTATCTCGGTCGAATATGATCCACATGTCTTGTAAATTTTAAATTTTTTTGACTAGTGCCCTCCACGATCATCTAACATTATTACTTTGTTTCTAACTGGATGTAATATTTAATTAAAAATGAAAGTGTCCGAAATTTGAATCGTCCGAAATTTGAATCGTCCGAAATTTGAATCGGAACGGTAGGTTCTGCTCGCAAACGGTTGAGTTTTTTGCGCTGTAATGAATTTCTTTAGCTTTCCCGAGTGTTTCCCGTCTAAAATTACTTTTCCGGTTGTGTGATTCTTTGAAAACTTTGAAGTTTGTGAATAGTTCTGGTGACGAAATTTGCCTGCGGTGTTTTTGGACAACATCGATCACTGAAAGGAGTTCAAGAGTGAATCTGGCAGACCAGAAATGTGTAGGATTTGTATCATGTTATTGTCGATTTAACTGCGTGAAAACGAGAAAAAAATGCAACAATCAGGGCATACTAAAGGCATTACAGATTATATTCCACGACGTACTTAGTGCTTCACCAAGTCTCCAAAGTTTTCCGTAAATCATTCATAAAACACGACGATGTATGCCGAACAATTTGCTATGAGAGATCGAGAAAATATGTGTCGTGTCGTTGATGTGTGTTATGTATCATTTGTTCAAGTGAGAGTGTGTTTGAAGAAGATAGAAACCATGATTTATCAGTGACTCGGCAATGCTATGCAGTATTTTGAGACGTTCTAGTGCTAGTATCTTGCAACCGACAAATTTTCAGATGGAGAATATAATTTGTATATGCAGAACATTTTTGGTAGAATGTCGGCATATTGTAAGATCGTTTCATTACACCAACTGTGCTTTATATTTTGCATATCGACAAATAAGCGATTTTTGTGATAAACTAGGTATTTAAAAATTGTGATAAAAGTGCAAATTTCTGTCTAATAGTCTTTGCGTCTGCGGTTTTCTTGCTCGAAAGACTTTTTTTTCTGTATTTATGGTTGCGATTGTTGTTTTTGTTTTGTTCTGTTTCTGTTTCTCTTTGTTTTCGCAGTAGTAGTTTCTAGTGAAAGAAATCGAAACGAAACTTAACTTTTAAGCGCAAAAGAATCATTACCAACAGAGGAAAAAACTCGGTAAGATCCTTCCATTGCATTATTTTATGATTCTTCAATATTGTACACATATTTACACATTACACACAACTACACATAGTAACTTGGAGCGTTTGGTACGGTATGTCCACGCATCCTTCACCCCTGTAGATTCAAGAAATGTTCCCATTCATTTCCAAGAATCATCTTTGCGGCAAATACAACGCAGTAGGCCTGGCCGTATTGATGTTTATATCATATCTCAGATATGCTGTAAACATCAATTAGACAAGAAAAATGATTAGACCTCATCTAACCTAATCATTTTCCAGGATACTGGCTGCGTTCGTTTTAGATTAGATAGATTAGATTAGATTAGATTTGGAAAATTCCAAAAGCTTGCTTGTTTTGTGAGTTTAAAAAACATAATATAAAAGTTGAAGGTATATTTTTTAAATATTTCACTTTTATCATAATTCTTTGAATTTTTTACTCAAAATATTAAAAAAAAACCCTGAATTTTTTTTTCCTGAAAAACTTTCATTTTCTCAAAAACTTTGTCTCAGACGTCATTTGGATCTAATGAAACATTATATTTAGCACTATATTAATTGAAAAGTGTCAAACTGGGTATGAATTAAGGTTTTTGAGTGCAATGAATACCGTCGTGAAAATATCAATCTGGCGGCATGGCGATCATCAGTCAGCGCATATAAATGCTGTTGGCATATGTAAAAAACAACGGTGGCAGTGGCGTGGCGTGGCGTGATGGCTCTCAGGTTTAAGTGTAATGTGGTCGTCGAAATGTTTGTTAAACATATTTTTGTGAATTTTATATTAGCTTAACTTTCGAACAAATTTTGTTTCCCCAAATGCACTGCGGCTAGAAAATCATCTCGTTTTGGTTTTATATACAAATTTAGTGACGTTCAGCTGTGTAAAGTTCGGTAAAAATTACCGAAGTCGGAAATAATTTCTAAGATCATAACTTTACACGATCTATAATGTAAACTTGTTCCTATGATATCTGACGCTCCATTAGTGTGCATTCAATAGGAATTTAAAATGCATTATTGAACTGTGCACAGTTCTTATTCAAGTTTGAGTTTTGTATGAAATACGTATTTTCATGGATCATTCAAGATATTTTATCGGTGTTGTGTACGTCTGCCTGTCTCTGTATTGCTGTAAGCCTATTTTTCACAAGTCAGTAGTTATTTAAAATCACAAGAGGGCATTATCATACTCCGACCACGGTTTTGTGTCCCGGATTCAAACCCTCAATCAGTCTCAATTACTGTCTCTAGAGAGAAAGGTCACTGCCTGTTTCATTTGCTGGGTATAAATATAAACTCATTACAACTTTGCTCCGATACTACTCAGCGACATCCAGGGACAGCAAAACTTATCGCATTTGTGGTTGTGTGCTTTAACTTCCCTGCGCTTCTTCGTTTCGTTCAAAAAACCAACAACAAACGCTACATTCACGGAAGACATAAAATGAGATCGCTTTTAGCACTCAGGCATTCTCTTCACTGTAAACATTCAACTAAATTGGAATGCACATTACGAGTTTAAATTACGACGAAACTTTGAGCAGAAACATTCCTTAGGCTTGGCGACAATTTGGTTTCTATGGGAAACAGGAATGCTTCAAATAGGGGGTATGTGTATTGTTATGGAGTTCATGACAAATTTGGTCGTTATTTTGGCTCATACCGTAGTTAATAGGCCTCTATTTACTATTATAAACAGGAAAATCAATTAGGCATGTTATTTGCAATACGTTTCAATACGTCATAGAGAAATAACTCCATGATTTATTTTCTCCTGTTTAGTGATATCCCAATAGAATGTGGAAATATATTGTACGCGTCTACCCAATGCAATATTCTGAATATATACTCACAAAAAACCCTACCTGTGCCATTAGCATATAGATTTGAGCGTAGCTATTATTCGATGAAATCACCCTAAATATTGCTTTACATTCCTCGTTCTGGCAGCTTTTGAAAGATTTCCATGCAATTTCAAACTTCACTGAGGACCAATAATTCCAAGCGCTTCGTTGTACGATTCTCGTTCCAGATCAAATCGACAATCACAAAACTGCAGGCTGTGGTGTGCTCCGACGGGAGGTTTCGCGTGATGAGAGAGGCGCTGCACCGTTGCGATCCACCCTGCATTCCGTACCTGGGCATGTATCTAACTGACCTCTCGTTCATCGAGGAGGGCACACCGGACTTTACACCGGACCGTTTGCTGAATTTTTCCAAAATGCGAATGGTAAGTTGAGAAAAAAAAATATCCCAATTCGACAGCCTGATTTATGAAGATTAATACGGCGGCGATGCACTGCATATAGCGACAACCCCACTGCGGAGGGTGGGTGGTCGTTGGCACTGCATTCATGTAGTCATAAGTCGCTCGAAATTCAAGCACCCTCTCGAGTCACATTGGCGTGCACCGCGTACCGACCTGGTTTCATCAATAGTTCGATTTTCGTCTCATGCATAAATTTCTTTTCGGAATTTTACAGATCGCACATGTGATACGGGAGATTCGCCATTTCCAACAGACGCCGTACAAAATCGATCACATACCGAAAGTTACATCCTACCTCTTGGATACATCGTTGCTGCTGGACGACGACGAACTGTACCAAAAATCGCTACTGATAGAACCGCGGAGTTCGCGTCTCAGTGCACCCAATACGGCAAATGTTTAAATTTTACATATCTGGCCGAGTGTGTTGCATACACATACACACAAGGAAACCAGGCGATTCCATCCGAAAATATTAGAAGAAGAGAAGTGGACGTGGTTTGAAAAGGGTTCATTCTACAATGAAGTGCATGTGAGTGACTAGTTGGGTCGGAGATTGTGATAAATGTTTGAAGTGCATGGAAATTATGGAGCAGTGACATTGGCATTCGATAACTTGTGGCAGCAGCAATCGTACATCGGACGAACGGAATGGGATCCATTGGTTTGCAGAAGGTAAGTCGATTCAGCTGTTTTGTTGCACTTTTGATGACCTTTGATGCATATGGAAGTTTCAAATTAAATGAATCCATTCGATATGCGTCCAACGGAAACCTACAGAAACTTCGTGATGAATTATTGGCAAATTCAACGAGCAATAGTAATGAAATTTTCTTAAATCTGATTTAAATCGGATGGTAATATTGTTTTATTAGATAAAATAAGTGGTTAATATGGACCAAACATTTAAGTGGTGTAATCAAAATTCAAACGAATGGGATGCGTTCAACGGCGAAGAAGGATAGCTTAGAAACCACTATTGGGAATGCTTAAAATGTAACTTCGCATCACTTGAAATAGGCACTACAATTATTATTATTTTTATTATTTAGTATTACACATCCAAATTCTAGCTTTCTGGATCTTTGAGATAATCGTCAAACGCAATAAAACATTCTGAATTTTAATTGTGATTTAAACATTCATTCACGTACACTTGTATTTCATTTCACGCAAACGCAAAAGAGCAATGTTGTTTGCAAGGATAGGCTTTTCTATAAAACTTTTTATTGCATTGCAACATTTCATGAAATATCTCAGAATTTTACACGATTTATAATGTAAACATATATGATATTTAACGATCTATTGAACTGAAGAAATTATCGAAATTTTCAAAGAAGTTTCTGATCTGGCAGGCGATTTGCGGGTGTGATGAAATGAGCGCTCCCTTCAACACTTCCGGAACAATCAACGTTTCGATTTACAAGGAAGAGTGCCTTAAGAAGCGTGTCTTACAATTCATAAGGAAGCACAAAGGATCAACTCTGTTTTGGCATAATCTAGCATCCTGCCACTACGCTCGAAACGTGTTGGAGAGGTAGCGAGCCAACGGAGTAAATTTTGTGCCAAAACACAAACATCCCTTAATTATTAAAACAGTGCTGGAGTTGATGAAAATTTGGGTAAAAACATCAAAACACTGGAAAAAATCGGTTGTACAAAATTTGATGGGTGGAATGAAAAGGAAAGTGTGGGCATTTGGGATGGGAGACGAATATGAATAAAACAAATTTTGTATACCTTATTAGCAGTTTTACATTCCCTAAAAATTTCACGAAAATTTCAAAATCGGCTTAATTTTGGTGAGTAAATATGTGTGTGCCATTTTTATCGAATACACCCTTTGTGCTCGACAAAGTTGTGTGTAGCAGTGGTGGACAAGAAAACAAATCGGTGCACACATGTACTGCACCGTTCGAAAAAGTAGTGTAATTTCCTATTCAATATGATTCACATAAATGGAGTGTCACATATCACATAAGTTTACTTTATTAATCGTTTATAGTTCTAAGAAATTTCATGAAAAGCTGCAAATATTATATACAAAGGCCCGTCTTGCTTACAAGTTGCTCCTTTGCGCATTTTGTACGAACGGCAGCAAAATCCAACGTTCCCAAGCAACACAATTTGTCATAAACGGGTTTACATAACTTATTTATGACAATATCAGCGTTAAACATTTACGTCTAGTCACTTAAATACAACTTATTTATACCGAAAAAAGCGCAAGAGGTGGGATGTATATAAAACATATGCTTGACTTGCGCAACTTATTTATGACTTTAACGCAACCTACTGTATTGGACATGTTATAAATTAATTTCATCCTTCCTACGAATGGAATTTGTTTATCATTAACCATTTACACAACTTATTCTTCTGAGGAATTTTATCATGCAAATAAAGTATTTAAACTGAGATTCCGGACTGCAAAACATTTATGCGGTTACAAATTTATGGTAAATCTATACATTCTACTTCTAAGAAACTCATTGGCTCTTAGAAAAAGCTTAATATAATAAACTGAATTGCATAAAAAATCTTGGATAAAACTCCCCAACTTTGCAAAAACAAAAACAAATAGAATATCAACTTTCTTCTTTTAATTATCTTACTTTTCTCTGTTACAAAACGTACATGTGATGTTGAAAGCACAAATTAAATGTTTTTTTTTTCATTCTATACATTGTTTAATTGGTTTGGTCAGCCATATTGTAGTGCAGTTTGTAGAATGCATTGAGAAATTTCATAATTGTTATCAAAACTTGTTTATAACACGACAAACAAGAACATTACTTGTACCGTATATTGAAGTTATAATTAGGTATGGAAACTCTCAATAGCCTATTTATAACACTTTTATAACTGATCGTTTTTGATGAAAACTTGCTAGCCTTATATACAACATGTTTTCATACATCATTTTTGGAAACATGAGTACAACTGAAATATAACTTATTAATAACATGTTATAAATAAGTTATATCTCATATATATTCATGTTTCTAATAATGACATATGAAAACATGTTGTACATAAGACTAGCCAGTTTTCACCAAATACAATCAGTTATAAATGTGTTTTAAACTGGTAATTGAGACATGCAATATCGAATTATAACTTCAAAATAACAAGTGCTTGTCAGAAAGGTTGCATACTTCTCAAACAACAATACAACGCGTCTAAAACAGGATGTTTTAGAAGCAATTAATATACAACTTATTTACAACTGGATTTTTTTTTTTTTTTCATGCAAGATGTTGCAAGTGTTACTTGGGTTGTCGGTACGCGATCTCGCTAAAAAGCTAAAAGCGACGAAGAGTACCGTGTTTAGTGTGTGAAAATCGTTTGACCAGCGCTTAACTGTGGATCGAAAGGTTGAAAGCAGAATAGATCGAAAAGTATGCTCTCGACAAATGGACCAGAAGGTGGTAGCCATTATTGAGAAACATCCAAACCTGTTCAGTTCGTAATGTGGCTCGCAAAGTTGGAAAACCAAAATCATATGTAGAAAAAGTGAAGCAGAGGCATAGGGATGAAGACTTACAAAGTGAAAACGGTGCCCAATCGTAATGATAAGCACAATTTTACTGCAAAATGTCGTGCTAAGGAGCTTTTCGTTCAGTTTTTGCAAAACATTTCACAATGAACGACAAAACATACGTGCCAGAAGACTTTTAACAGCTTCCGGGTTTGGCTTTTTACACTGCAATGCAAAGGATTACCATTGCCGAGTGTTTCCGGACAAAGAGGCCTTAGAAAATTCCCCAAAAAGAATTTGGTTTGGCAGGCCATATGTAGTTGCGGCCGGAAATCCAAAAGTTTCATCCCTACCGGCACTATCAACAAAGATGTGTACGAGAAAGAATGTTTGCAAATGCGGTTGATACCATTCATCAGAAGCCACGACACTCTAGCTCTGTTTTGGCCTGATTTGGCCTCTTGTAACAATGCAAAATCTGAGGTCAAATACATCCAATCCGCCAAACTGTCCAGAACTTCGCCCAATAGAAAAGTACTGGACTCTGGTTGAGCGGAAACTATTCGAAACAAAGAGGAAAGCAAATGGCATCAATGATTTCAAGAGGAGATGGAGGCACGCCGCCACTTAGATATCTGAGGATACTGTACGGAACCTGATGGCAGGTATCTCGAGAATTTTACAGAGAAAATAATTAACATTCAAATAAGCTGCGTTTGCTATTGATATAAGTGTACTTTACTGAATCGGTTTTGTTGTATTTTGTAGATTTTTTCCCCGACATTATCATAGTGTCCGAAATTTAATGTGGACGGTTTTATGATATATGACGCTCCATTTATGTGCATCATATTTAGTAATATAAATTTGCAATACTTTTTCGAGTTGTGTGGCGCATAGATTCAGATGTCAACTTAAGCGATGCAAAATGTTTTTATTTAATGTGTTGAAGATCTCTGAAGGTCACAAATCAAGGACAGCCGTCATTTTGAAATATGAGATGGCGGACCGAAATTCAAGATGGCCGTCTTTTCTCTTGACGATTTATCATCTGTAACTATGCAGCATGGGTATTTTGGATCTGGGGAAGATGTCTCGTGGTCATACATTGTCGTTCACCGCTATTTTGATATCCATGATGGCGGACCTAAATTCAAGATGGCGACCTACTCTCGGCAATTTATCATCTGAAACCATGCCATATGGGTATTTTGGGTATGGGGAAGATGTCTAGAGGTTAAACAGAATCAAAGTTTGCCGCCATTTTGGCAAGCAAGCTGGCCAATGCAGCCATGCAATTTGGGTATTTTTGATATGAGGAAGGCGTCTTGGACATCTTGGATTTCATAATGACAGCAGTTCTCTAGACACCATTCCCATATTGAAAATACCCATGTTGCATGACTTCAAATGATAAATCTTCAAGAAAAAATCGCAATCTTGTATTTCAAAATGGTTGCGAACCTTGTACCCATATTGCATGGTTTTGGATGATAAATCATCACGAGAAATCCACCAACTTGAATTTAGATCCGACATCTTGGATTTCAAAATGGCGGTGGAACTCGATTTTCAACCTCTAGACACCTTTACCATAAACAATACCAATATTACATGGTTTCAGATTATAAACCATCTCATGAGTAAGCCACCATCTTGAATTTAAAAATGGAGAAATACCTCGATGTTTGACCATTAGACACTTTCGTTATATCAACAAAATCCATATTGTCAGTAGAAAAAACATCATTATAAAGCCACCATCTAGAATTTCGGTCCAACATAATGGATTTCAAAATGGTGGCAGACCTCGATTTTATAGCACTAGACACCTTTCCCATATGGAGATCGCAGTAGGCCGCGCTTGAAAGCTGACGTGTTTTTCTTTATTTCCGTATTTTTCGTCACGCGAATTAAACATTTATTGCTTTAAATTTGTTAATTTGTTTGCTGAAATTTAGTTTCAAGTGTTCATAAAGTTACCATTCAGTGATATATCTTGTTTCGCCTGTGTTTGCCTTGAGCGACTCGGTTGTCCTTGAATATAACCTCCAAAATCTACGACGAAGCTTCAGTTCCATTGTTCGGTGTCGGATTTCATTGCCTCCCGGAAGCCCGGCTCTCCGAGTTCGGATGCCACACTTTCGACATGTTGTTCTATTGAGAGATTCGTCACCGTGGGCGAGGTTGA